CTTACAAATATAAGACTCGTCAGATTAGAGATGTGAAAATTAAGTTAGAAGTCAGAAATTTTCCTTGTGCAATGTGTCTAGTTGTCAACGTTAGAAAACAGAATGTATTAAAATTCTTGATTTCTTGACTGGCGTCGCTAATCTGCTATAATCTGCTATAAAGGATTGTAAGACGGGTGTCGAATTGTCTCGGCAGGCTGAACTGGATCTTTCCACTTTCGTTGCGATTAGTGATAAATAACTCTGTCAACGGCTATGAAAAGGTCTCTCCGAGAACTCGCGAGTGCGTTATCGGACATTCGCGGTGGCGAGTAAACGGGCTAGAGGTGTCGTCACGTGTACGTGTACGCGCTCATCGAGGGTGTATTCGTACGCGTTATACCGCGTTCAACACGAGCAACGTAGGGACAAGAGAGGCGATATATAATGTTCCGCGATATTAAACGGGACGCATTCCACCGAAGCCACCCTCTGGTTCCTGCTATGAATGCTTCTACGACCCCCGTCTCCTGTCTCACCCCCTGCCCGCCGCCCGCTCCCTCGCCGACTACCTCCGAAAGCGGGATGAGGAGGGGAAAGAGAGAGAGAGAGAGAGACAGAGGACAGAGCTGGCCTACTCGACCAGGGCCACCCCTAAATGGTTATACGCCAAATTTACAGCTTAGCCAGTGCTACTACCACCACCGCGAACACGGCATTTACTATCTCGTCCTTTAGAGTCCTCCGCAACCGATATACATGCATCTGTGGCTCAAAGATAAGACATCTTTTCCCCGCGCCTCCGAAGTAGCGTTCCCGATGACGAGGAGGACTATTCAGAGTTTCGGAAAATTGTTGCTCAGCTCCGCGAGACTTTGTTCCCGTGACTTTTATTATCTTTCATTCAAGTGCACAGATGTGCTTGAATTGGTTAGGAGTTCTTGTCTTATGCTTCTACATTTTTTTCGTCCACGCTTTTCACAATAGTTTTAAATACCCTAAGAATGCCACAGGACTTTCGATAACCTTATCTTATTTCGTATTGTCCTCTCACGTTTATTCTGAAAATGTCGAAATTATCTCGCGTTGATTACAAAATAATCGTGTAATCCTATTATGCCTTTAACGCGAACTGTGGGATGTCGTTTCTAGGGCTCTTAGCAGATTCGCACACAATATAGGTACATGTATACTGCAAAAGTAAACTTATAAAAACAGGTTGAAAGATCGACGTGGTAGTCTCATTCTCACGAATGTCCACAACATCCCGTAATCTACCTTTGTCGCTCGACAGTTTCTTCGTCGCGCTGTTGCAATCTCCATACGTTAAGTATTTTACATTACCATAATTATTTCAGTAGAAATAAGTCCAGCCAGTTCAGTGATTTAACAATTGAATTAATTAGTAGGATAAAGCAACAAAATTGCAAAATCTTATCTAGATGCGCGCGTAATGTTTCTTTAACAAATTTTATCCCACTGTATTATCAATATTTTTTTAGTATTCCAAGGTAGAGAACTACAAGCAAGTTTTATAGGTTTTTAGGTATATTAATAAAAAAATAACTTGTAATGAGAAAGATTAATAATAAGTACAAGTACAAAAGTATATATTCGCAGAGGCAGACATTTGCTCGAGACCGACTGCGCTTATTTTTATTTATTCTTATTTCCATTAGCAATTATGTATTTCCGAGTGTGAGCGATAAATGAATTTGGAAATATTTCCCCGAGCATCCGAAAGATCTCTCCTGCACAAGGAAATTAGTTGTTATTTTTGGATCGTCGTACAAAAGTTAACCGAACGCCGTCTTAGTATTGGTATTGGCTCCTGCCGGAGCCTGCGGGCATCTACGGAATAATCCGGCCTATTCGACCGACGCGCCTCCTCACCACCGTCCCTCTTTGCGGGCCGAAAATTTGTCGCGACTCGATCATTACTCAACGAGAGCCGGGAAATCTAGCACCGTAATATCTGGCAGCGGGCGACGGCGCGGATAATGGAGAAGGACGCACACGTCCGCGATCTCACGCGATCGTAGTAGTGGCCAGGACATTCCGAGGTTTCGCCGGCGAGAGGCGTTCTCCAAGTTCCTGCACCCTATCACGGCCGGCCTGGTCATACCCTATCCTTCATCCGAACATTTCCATCCCCTGGGTAACCTCGATTCTCTTCTCTCCCCCTCCCGCCCTCCTCTTCGTTGCCGGCAGGAGCAGCGCCGCCGAATGCAATCATACGTCATCCGCCATGATCTATGTCTTCTGCCAGTCTAGCGTCGCACGCTCGATCTAGCGCGGGCTCGCGTGCACGTGTACATATTCGCGCACGTACACATCGCATACATACGCGCGCACGTGCGCGAGTACGCGACTAACGCGACCGCATCTCGCGTCTCTATTAAGCCACCGCTCATTTTCCGGCTGCGTATGAGCATGTTCGCCGTTAGCCGCGACCATCCACCGGATGATTGCGGCTTGCTTCCGTGCATTTTCAGGAGAAACGTATACCCCGGACGGTTAGCTTGCCCATCTTTATATGGGACGTCGCAAACACACGACGGCTCAGCCGTGAATCAAGCCGGGAAAAACAATGGTACAATTCGAAATACTGGTATTCTCAATGCTATGCTATTACAAGAGCTATTATAAGAATGGCGGGGAATTAGTTATGAAGAGCGATGTGACTTTTAACCCCTTGAAGCATGGTGGTAACCCACGCTACACTTCAACTTCTTTACTTTTTGGCCATTTAATTTCTAGTTAACGCATTTAGGTCTGTTTTTTTTTGCATTTTTGGGGTACCTTAGCAATAAGAGAACATAAAAAAAGTTGAGCAGTCTTGAATATTTATTGTAAAAGTTTTATAAATAAACAAATATGAATAAACAGCATTTATTTCGGAAAAATTCATTATTGACTAAGTTTTTTAAGATTGTTTCTTGAAAACTTTGTACAAAAGGGTTTTCGGGGTCGCTCATAACGAAAAAAATATATGCTTCAAAGGGTTAATACGCGAATGGTGAGTACCGAGAGGGAAAGTGAGAATAGAATAGAATTTTTATTTATTAAACGCTCTGGGACACGTCACCTAAAGCGTTCGACGAGCTACACATAAAAATTACTTACGGGTGAGAAAGAACTTTTGTGCAGTGAACAATTTAAATATAGTAAAAAGTATAATAAAAAAGATGAGTCGTATCGAATCGAATCGCTATTTCTAGAACGCTATGGAACACAGTCCTCTAACACGTAGTGACAATATAACGGACAGTAATGATTTATCATTAGTGGTATACAAAAACAGAAAAGAGTAGCGCAAAAACAGTATAGCGAAAAATAAAATGAGAGAAAGAAAGTGAGAGACAGAGAGAAGTGGGAATTTAGATCGCAAAATAAAACGTATTCAGACGAGTTAGAGTGAACATGTTGAATTTACGTGTAACATGTATAATGATAATGCAATTTTTGTAAAAATGTGGCAAATGGTTTCTTCGCTTATCTTTTTTTAAACATTCATCGATCGTGTACAGCGTCTATTTTTTGCGTATGGCCAAAAACAAATTTTATAAAGAAATAAGTGAAATAAGTACGTATGTTTCGCGAGATATTGCGTGGAAAAATTTCCAATTTCAGTTGTGCATGATAAATAAATTTTTCTCGAAAACACGCGTTGTGTGCCGTTGCCGAGTTGTTCCTCGCGAGCGATACCTCAACTCACCCGGGGTGGCCCACTAAACCCGACGATCCCTAGCCTTCCCTCCCCTGGCCTCTCCCCCAAATGCACATAAAGTGGAACGCGTAACACGAATATCTGCGTATAATTAACAATTATCCGTCTCATCTCTTGATTCTCCGAGAATCGTGGAATGGCCGGTACATCGCGCGCAGGCCCCCACGCGAATGATTCTCCGATTAATTTCGTCATCACGACGAATGCCACGGGGGGTGGGTGGAAGAGGGGGGGGGGAGAGGGACGCGGGGGTGAGGAACGTAGGGGTGAGAGAGGGGCAAACACGAGCACGCTCCCGCTTTTGGCTCGGGGGTGGCTGTTGCTACGGATCGGGATTGCACCGCCACCGGTGGTACGAACCCAGCCGGGGAATAGGGGTCTTTTCTGGGGGCTTAACATACACACTCCACCCCCGGTAGGCGGAGTGTACCGCCTACGAGCTACCCCCACCCGCCGCCGCGGCACTGATACGCGATATCAGCGAACACTTGTTGCTCCGACGAACATAGAGCGACGACGGAGTGCCCCGTCTCCCTGACTCCCTTTTACCCCCCCACGGTCGCGATTTTTCACGTGCTGATTTTTTCGCCACTTCATTCCGCGCGCGCGCGCGCGCCGAGACGTGTACGTGTGCCCCTTGGCTTCCGTCCGCGAATCTAATGCGATAGGATAATACTTCCGTCCACTATCAGAAACGAGCTCGCCGTTGATAGCGCACGGAATTAATTCGTTGTCATTCCGCAGCGAGTATTGTTATAAATAATAACGCATATAAAATTGGAAATGCAAAACGTCCTAAAATTGTGGGACTGCTATAAGGAATATTTATCACCAAGAAAAGAATTTCGTAATTTCCTCGTTACAATTAATATCATTAATATATTGGAATTACTATTGTCGCATAACAATGATTGTATACGTAGAAAACACTTTTTGCTACTCGACAATAAGAGATGTAACGATATAACCCGTGTATCGCTCTCTTTTCACTCTTCTATTTTTCTCATTCTCCGTTCCGCTAATCTGCCTTTCGCGTGTTACTTTTAGCTACACGGCTCGGTATTATTCATTCAATGTCACGAGCTCGAATGTAACTTTTGTAACGAAAAGCTTATTTATGGTTATAGATTTATTTTGCGAGGCAGTAATAACTTTCTGTCTCGCAAAATAAATCCAGGTCATACTCGTAAACTCAGTTTACGAAGCTGGACTGCGAGCTGGAGCGCAGCTCCAGACTGGGATTTTTCCGAGAGAAGTTAATAAACTGGGTTCGTCCCTCGTTTTGTTACAGGCAGTGCGGTGGCTGCAGCCGACACCATTTCCGCGCCGTGGACCCCCGCGAGTTCCGGGCCGCCGCCCGACGCCAACGGCTCCGGCTCGGATACGAAGAACCTCGACGTTGGCGAAATTAGCGATGTAAGTCAACCGTGCCGTCGCCAATTAAGGGCGACTGCGAGCGTAGTCTCGGCGCCCTTTTTATTTCAATTAACTCGCCGACCCGGGTTTGAAGGGACGAGCTTTTCTCGCGTTTACTTACATCACGGTAGAACACAGTGCTTAAAACTTCCGCAGTGGAGACGCGACATTTATCGTTACTCTTTCGCTACTCATTTTACGCCTTAAATCAGGCCAGGTGAAATTTCTCGCTGCAAATCTCTCGTGCGAGGTGCAGTTGTTACTTGGCGTTCAGTGCTCTCGCGGAAGCCGATAAAAATTAATATTGTGAGTTTCATTCGGCCAATTTTCAACAAGTTCTTTTGCGATATCACGCGGCGTGCAGGACAATCTTGACAAATTATTTCGATAACGCTTTTCTCGTTTTATTCTTATTCTTTAATCTTAGTTTGCTATCATAAGCGGGTGTAATCACCCGCAATCGCACTTCTAGATTTGACAAAGTAAAAGTTGTTTTGAGTATTTCATAAAGAATGCGACCTTAAAATTATTATGTAAGATTTACAGGGCATTTTGTATAATGCCAAATTGAAATTTAACAATAGTTTACTTAGTAATATCTTATAATCTTTAATGCGCATAAAGTAACACCCACGGTCAACGTATTACAGCTTATACTGAACGAAGTTATACGATGTCGCGAAGGAAAGTAGCCTTTCAAAAGAATGCTACTTTATGCGACATTGAAATTTCAATGGATCTCTATAGATTTCGCGATTGAAGATTAAATCTCTCCCGCGGTTGTTTTATTCGGGATTTAACTCTTATTTGCATTTGAAATATATTCTACTGTAGTAAAACAACATCGTGAATACTAAAGTGATGAAAATGCACGGAATTATTTAAACGTTAATTCGTTAACTTTGGCACATGCAAATTGAATTTATTTGGGTCAGATGTACGAAGCCACTTCAAAGCTAGACGTCGACTGTGCGATTTAATTCTCTCCGGCTTTCTCTTTGCCTTCTTTTGCATGCAGTTTCTCGAAGCGCGATGAAGATACTTGGCAACATTGCAACGTATTTTTTTATTATCTAATATTATTTGTTATTTCTATTCGTTTGCAGTTTGAGCGAAATAAGCGCGCAAAATTACTTTCTCCGTCTTGTATTCGCATTGATTCAGTCACGCACACACGAATGAAACACAGCAGCGTTGATCTACTCCTAGTCCTCGATCAACGCGGACCAGATCAAATCGAAGACTTTTTCGTACCATCTGGAGAGTCTCCCGTTTTGAATCGCGTGCTCGACGATATTATATCAAACGTGGCGAACGTGACTAGGGTTCTCGGAAGAGACAAGCCCGTTCCCTCGCACCCTTTCCGCACTTCTCGGTATCTAAACGCCCAGGATAATCGTCCGTTTCTCGGCACGGAGGAACACGGGAAATCACACGTTTCTCTTCGTGCGGCACGGAGGTTTTTGATTCGTTGAAATTCCAGTCCCAACCAAGTGCTACTCCAACTACTAGGTGTTTCCGTATATCGCGTATTCGCGCAACGTCGTCACCCCTCGATCTAGGAGGTACCCCAGCACACCGGTGTGCGGATCACGATGGACGCGTGAAAGAAAAACGGAGTCGAAGAAGCGAAAACACGAGACAGTCTCTTGATTCGGTGAGAGAGAGGGAGGGAGAGAAAGAAAAGGGATCGGGTCCACTCACTCGGCCACGTTCCAGGCGTGGTTTCGCGGCTGCTGGGGATCCTTTGTTTCAGAGGGAGGAAAGTCTCCGAGGTCCGGCCACGTTCGCGATCGACGCGGCAGATAAATCGCGCGTGCACGGTCAGCGGCGGAATCGCAAATAAATGAACTTTTCTCGAGCATGCTCAGATCGTCGAAATGCATCGCGGCGAGAGGAGGGTGGCTCCTACGACGAAATGTAATCGTGACGAACCATGGTGAATGCGTTCGCGAGAATCATGATTGAGCTGCCTCTGAGGGCTGTGAACGCGTTTTTCATCGGAAGTTGATAGCTGATAAGGGATTGCAATCTATAGTTGGAAAGCTAATACGATAACCGAGCACACGTCGACGCGCAAGTTTCCCAAAATTTCTGTCGAACAAGTGATCGCAAACTTTTCTTGCTGGACATTACAATTATTTTTGTGTTACTTTTTCCAAGAGTTCGGGACAATAATTAAGTTTTATTACACGTATCTAGTACGAGTTGTAAAATTTTTTAAATATAATTTTATGTATAATTAAAAGTACTGACAGGTTTGTGTAACGAAATACGTAACGGTTTAAACGTCGACGATTCTACTTTGACATATAAGCGGAAATAGTTAATTTGCACACTCCATGACGAATGATTATAATTGCACGTGTAGAGATAAGATTTGAAGTTGAATTTAAAAATCAGTAATTTACACGCCACGATTATTTATTTATATCATTTCGTGGCATTACCGAGAGCGTGCTGTCTTTTCTCTGTGAGAACTTTATTAAGATTAAGGATGCCACGGTTCTATCTGATGTACGATAACTGCAAATCCGCTCTTCTTAGACTATGCTAGATTAGGCGATCGTATTTTCCAGGACGAGAAGGACCTGTCGGCAGCGGACGCGGAGGGCGTGTGGTCGCCGGATATCGAACAGAGCTTCCAGGAAGCTCTTACCATATATCCACCATGCGGTCGACGCAAAATCATCCTTTCCGACGAAGGGAAGATGTACGGTGAGTGCCACATATATTTCTATCATTTCTCTATCTATCGCACAAAAAGTGCGATCCTTCCTATCGTGACTTTATAGCCCGGTCTACAATGAGACAGAAGTCAGAAATCATAGGCCGTAAGTTGCAAATCATAAAGAAAACTGTTGATCCGCAATGATCCGTCATAAGTCATTATAATCTAGCCAATCAGAGACGAGGAAATTGATAGGCAACCATTTGTCTCAATAAGGCTGATTCTTAACTCTCGACAATATCGTTAATTGTAATTATTTACCGAAGCGAATGATAAAATGCCGCGGCGGAGACAATTGAAACCTATCTCGCCATAATATTGGGCGGGGAGAAGTTAACATATTTTGCGAAGAAAACTGTAGAATCTCGCTTAGCGAGAGAGGCGTGTGTATTCGTCGGCTCCAACTCGCGTTCCACGTCGAGGCAACGTGCCTAGTGCCGTCCGTAGGAAAGAACGCTGTTCTCCATGCGACGATCGCACCACCGACAGCAACCTCTCCTTCGCTCCTCCACGTACGCGCGATGACGGCGACGGGGAAACGTCCAGACGAGCGTCGTTATTGCTCCGGTGCTGAGGTCAGTCTACGTGACTGACCAGATATTGCTTGGTACGAGACCGGCGGTACCGCCGTGGCCACTGCCGTAAACCACCACCACCATTAACCGCCATGAACTCACCACCGGAGCAATAACGCCTCGCCTTCGGAGGAATATTCGCCCCTCCGACCGCCCCCGGCGCAAGCCCCCCCTTCCCCCCGTACTCTTGTGCCTTCTTTGTACCGTCTTTTGTATTAATTTCCTCGTTTTCGCCATCGTGCAGGCTTGCTCCTTTATGGAAGAACGATAATGAGTCGCCGCGCTGGTGAGTTGGTGCCGTCGGGACACGTACATGTTCCGCAAAAATCGCTCGAGAGAAATCGCGTATTACAGGCGTGTATTCGTCAGTTACAATATGTAGCGTCTATGTGCAAACAGCGATATTTTCTTTCTTGTAAATTACACGATAAAACCTTTACGATGTTGCCCAACTTTAAACGAAAATAGAAAAGTGCGTTCCATTCTTTTCCAAATAAATTCGCGTCTCGGTCATTAAAAGAGTCGAGGGAATTAATTTCGTACAGTAATTTTGCGGAGGTGGGCTGCGCCTCGTCCCGAGGCTGCTGTTATTTCCGAAAGGGGTGTAAACGAACCCTGAAATTGACTCCTAGTCTCGCCGTATCCGGGGATGCGACCAGCTCGAGCTGCCACTTTTCTTCTATTCTTGCGTCTTGGTGAGCAAATTTTCCGGGCCGTTCGGCAGGAGGACGTAGGCCGTATTCGCATGAATCCCATTCGTTAAGGCACAATGTCGCTTAATTTCCGAAAGCACTTGACGCGCAAAGCCAAGCGGGTGGCAATTCAATCGCGATGCGCACGCTCTATGAAAATGGAGTTTAATTCAGGCTCCTCCGTGTCGACGGAACTGGTGGATGAAAACAGCAACAACGACGAGGACGACGACGACGACGACGACGACGGCGACGACGACGACGACGACAATGATGTCGAAGCGACGTCGTCTCGCTACCCTTATCCGCATTTCGTTCTCACTTTACGCGATTCATAATGGAATTACGATCGTAGAAATTTTAATAAACGTGCCATTTGTCGGAGTTCAGGCTTCTAGACTTTGGATTGTCATATTTTTATAGTAATTACTTGCAAAACAAATTTGAGCAGTGGAATAACCACAATGCTCGAGGATTAAACGGTTTCTTAGTGCATTTAATTTTAGTAGCTAATTAAATTATTTAGATGAATTTCAAGATTTTTCTGCACGTAAAGATTATACGTACACGTTAGACACTATCTCAAGGATAGATTTTTCCCTTTGTTCCGGGATAGATCTAATTAATTTGTAATACCTTAAAGGAGAGAGGGGGGGAGAGAGAGCGAATAAGAGGGAGAATACAAAGTTGCGTGGGGGTGTCTCAATTGAAAATCCTTCTCGCTCGCTATCTCGTCGTCGCTATCGGAAGATAGCATCTCGTACGGAGAAGTCGCTCTCACCGGGACGCAGTTTACCCCTCCGGTAATTTCCCCTGGCATTGAGGAATGTGAAAGTCGGCGATTCTTCGTGTAGACAGAACGATAGAGAGGAAGATAGAGAGAAACGCGGGAGTGACGCGATATAAGATCGATCCTTCGACGTCACGGAAGACGAAGGAACATCGTGCCGTCGTCGACGAGATGCAGTCGACCGTCCACCGGATGGAAACAAAGGATAACGAGGCGCGAAAATCGCTTAACGCGATTGGCCATTGATCCGACGGGAAACTTATCTCGCCCGTCGTTGCTCACTCGCCGAGCCAATAAAGGAGAGATCCCTCGGCCTTTCCGCGGGATTAAATATCTCGGGGCAATTTACCTCTTTCGATCGTTCCTCTCCGCACCTTCCCTCTCTCGTCCCCCCCCCCCTCCCCGGTTTCTTCTTCCTTTTTCTCTTACCCTTATCTAGACGCCGACGCCCAGATTTCACCGCGGAGAAACGATCGCTTCTCGTTCCCGAAGCGATCGACGAGAAGGAGAATCCAATCGATCTAAAATTTTTTCACGCGTAGCGCGCTGTATCGTTATTGCTAATAATACGATAAGGGCGATTCAGTTTTGAGATCGCCGAGGAGAGCATAGCCGTATCAGGTACGCCACAATCTTCTACATGTTGAAACGAGTAAAGAAAGAATAGGTCGGCGTGATGATTTAATTCCGATTTCCTGGTAGTATCAATAAAGATACGAAAACGCCGATCATTTTGAAATTCTTCTACGAGCAACGTCTTTACCGCGGATGTACAGATCGTCGGACAGCCTCTCTCATTTGCGAGCAACACACACGCATCGCATAAACTTTATGGAATGTTTAGAGAGTTCTTGCGTAGAAATCGGCTGAGGTTTGAAAAAGGAAAGGTCGAGTCTGATAATCATCATTTGGTCGATAAAGTATATTCGGACTAGCCCATAGAATTTCATGAGGGCCTGTTAATTGTCTTTCTCCATCGCGCTAACATCTGAAGAATCGCTCGGGAGGCTGAATTCCACACGTTCCGTCTCATAAACCTGTCGCACCTCACAAAATAATCGAGCGTTACTTACGAGATCGCTCGTGATGCATGTACCACAGTGGGTACCAGTGGGTCGTTTTGGAAAAATCTCTCGGGCTCCGCTTGCCGATGAAGGCGGCAACTTTTTGCGAGCGCAGTCGATAGTCTACGAACAATGTCAAAGTGGACTTTCTGTGTGTTGGAGTTGCGCGGATCTCGGGAGAGGAGAGGGCGAGAGAGAGAGAGAGAGAGCGTGCGGAAGGGCTCGATATTCTTTGTGGCCGTTTCGAGGTGGAAAGGAGCTTTCTCCCTCCCCTCCCCCTCTCTCTCTTCTCCTCTCCTCTTCTCTCCTCTCCTCTCTTTTTCCTCTGTCTGCTCCTTCGTCCAAGCGGAAAGAAACCGCATCGTTCCTTCCCACGAAGGACTAGGTCCTTCGTCCTTACGTCCACGGCATCCAATAAACCGGCAGAAATAAAAGGATCGCGCTGCGCACCGTCCCCGTCCGTTGTCGGAGCATAGAACAAGGAGCGAGAACGTTTAGAGAAGCGTTTAGGTTTCTTGCTTATACACCAGAAAAGAAAAACCGCCGCTGTTATGCCGCCGTTGCGCCGCTGTTGTGCCGCTGCGGTCTCCCGGAACACCTCCGAGCGACTTCCATCGGTGTAACTTGTCTCCCCGTGGGTCAATGTTCCGGAACGAACTCCGTAAATATAGTTTCTTGCAAATTTCCTTGCTTCCCCCCCGCCCTCCGCCGCCTCCTTACCTTCCTGCCTGGTACCCGCGTTCATCCACCCGCTGGCGTTTACCAAGTAATATTACACGATCGGTGCTTACATCGCTCGCGCGAGCGGGCTACGAGGAGCTTTTGAATAGATTTTCCGATCTGTCGGACAAATTCCGGATCCACCGGGACAAACTCGCCCGGTACCGGCGCAGCTTCCATCGATATATCGTTACGTCCGCGCTAATCGAGCCACGCCGGATATACATGGATCGATGAATAATGGAAGGGGAATAAATTGCTATCTCGATTGCAAATTATGTTTTCATATAAATCAATATCATAAATATTTATCAACTGCAGTTGGCAGTCGGGGATTTAGACACTGATTTAAGTCATTAAGGTGTGCCGTTGAGGTAAAATTATCATCTTGATTTTGCCAAAGGTTCGTTTTATCAGTTGCTGGCAGCTGGAAGCAAGTATGGAGGAGAATAACGGAAAGCGAGTTGAACGTAGCCGAAATAAATCAGTGTCGTTTATACATGTGCGATGAATTATCTTGCTTTGTAGGTTACGTCTAAATATCGTTTAACGATATCAGCGGGGAAGAATGAGACAAGCTAGCGAATGAATGAGAACAAGCAGGTTACGTTTGGTTGTTTGCGCGATGCTGCTTGAACTCGCGAGCCGGCGAGTCTGTATAGCTTTGAGTCGTATTTAAACAGATAAATCGACCTCACGCAGACCCATCTCTAGTCTTTATCTGCAGTCGCTTAAGTGATCTGTACGATAAATCTATGATATACGGTTATACACGGGTATATCTTCATAGTATATTGACTAAGCCAACTACAGGCCAGTTTCACAAACGTCGGTTAACTGCTAACCGAAGGTTAATTGATTCTTCGTATCTTCTTAAATAATGAGATGGAAAAAGATAGGGAGTCGACTGAACTCTGGTTAACAGTTAACCGACGTTTGTGAAACTGGCCCCAAGTCTTTCTAATTTGTCGCCCAATCGTGTATCTACAGAGCAGCGTTCTGCATCTGCCAACTGAGGGACTTAATTCCTCTAACGAATTTTTTTTTTACCAAGTTGGAATCGCTTTTCTTTTTGCTGAAATTTCTCTCACTTCTCCCCTTTTCATTTCGATGTCACCTTTTTCGGTTGGTAAACGCGCAACGCTA